GACAACGTGACGTGATGGATTTTGGCCGGAGGGGTGGTCCCGCGCTTGGGCAGATTGCCTTTTTTTTTTTCACCTCCCTCTTCTTAGTTTTCTCTCCCTCCCCTTTTTACGCCCTGATGGCAGCTCTAGAATGATTCGTGGAATTCGGGTCGACGCCTCACTAGCTTGGGTTCGAAAAACCCAATAAAAATATGATCAAAAGGGCGGGCTGTGGATAGAGGATCGGGTCTCCCCCACAACCGGTCAGGTTTGGTGGAAGTGGAGCGCTTGGAGAAGAATCGGTCTGGTCGACACCGAAAACCATCAACAACGCACCAGCTAGCGGGGCGGACGGAGGGGCGGAGAGGTTATTGAGGAGAGCGGGAGGGGGTTTGGGTAACCGTGGTTACGATGATCCTGATGTGCTGGCTGGTCTCGTTAGACTAGATAGATAGCAGAGCCGGACTATTGAACATACCTCTCTAGTGTAACTTCTGTTATTATTGGAGAGAGGGGGGAGGAGGAGAAGATCCCGAACGAAATGAACTCTAGTAGCTTCAACGGTGGTGGGAATAATGCTGACAATGGGGAAGGGACAGATGAATGGAGAGGAAAAACGGGGCGGGTTTAGGCTAGATGGAAAGTAGCTGCGACTAATCCATTTAGCAGATTTAGCACAGACACTCTGTCCTGCTGATGGTTGGCTCGTGTCTGGGTTTGGCCGGGGCATAGGATTGGTCTAAAATGAAGCAACTAACTGATGTACCAAGATAAACATCCTTTCAGGTTAATCATGGTATTACTGTCTTTTAGAATACAATAATATCAAAAATTCTCATCATTCACGGGGAACCGATTATTACTAGGACTGCGAGATTATCTCTACAATTATATAAATAAAATAATCAATTTCAATCTACTCCGTACGTCAAGTCTCACGCAGGCGGTAAGTAGAGGAGTCTAGACATGGCCATACAAAGGTATTCATTCTACTGAGTACCGATTGGTACTTCTAGTACTTTGAGACTACTACTTATGCTCGGGTTCCTGTTCGTACCCATTCTAGTAATCATAGTATATACTAGTGACTATTGATTAGCCAGGCCGCGAGTTGGTTATACTGAGTACTTAGTATTGATTGAAATCATGGCATCACTGTCTTTCACTTTGTCCAAGCCTACTACTAATAGTAAGTACCTCTAATACCAGCTCTTGTGATCAAGATAGTACCGTTATACCATACAAGTAGTAGTATTAGCAGATGCAGCTTGACTATCACCATGCGGATATTAGTACTACTAGTAAGTAGTTAAAAGAGGTCGATGTCCTAAATATATATATACCTAACGTGACAAAGTGCATGACCCCTTTGGCATGAGGTATTACTTGACTAGAACATGCGCAAAATATTAGGCATATCATATGCCTATTAATGAGCATCGCCAATTACTGACTAGTGAACATGAAGTACACAAATCAGTCCGCTATCTGCAGTGCTACTGAGGATCTCAGAAGGAGAACTGCTGTCGGCTTAGGCGAAACCCTAGCTTATTGGCAGTCAAAAATATTGCAATCTGCACTCAAGCACTGTTTCTAGTAGTAGTTCATGATTGTGATAGAGAATAATATCATATTCAGGTAGATGGAATGTGTAGCATTCGCTTAGGATTTATCTAGTGAATTTGTGACGCATGTTTGCTGCAGGCAATGCGTCTGGCTATCCGGGGCTTGGCAGCCGCATGTCATGTGGTGGGGAAGCTCTCCCGATCGATTCAAACAATCCTCTATCATCAGCTACATCTGGCTTTCGCACTGTGACCGGTTTTGGAAGTCGCCCTCACTTGGTCTGTTGAATTTATTATCGGGCGCTTCTACTTATTTGGTTATTGCAAGGGCGACCTCCTCCAGCCGGTGGGATTGAGACGGGGAGGCTCCGACATGGCCTCCGAACCAACGGAGGAAGCTATTGCGAACTTCGTGAGCTTCACCAGCTCAACCCGCGAACAGGCAATAAGCTTTCTCAAGGTGAACATTGATTTAAGTTGGGACTATTGCAGTTTAACTGACTAGATCGGGTTGTAGGCGAATAACTTAAACTCGAACCAAGCCATAAATGCCTATTTTGAAGACCCCACGGGCCCTCAGACGCAGGTGACGTCCTGAAACCGCGCACGATGTGTTGGGAGCAGCGACTGATTGTCAGACATATGTCGATATAGAATATCGGATACCAAAATGATTCTGCCGTTCCTGGTATGATTGTATCTCTTTTGTCAGAGTGATGTGTATTTGAGTTAGTACTGACAGATGTGCCTTGATGAAGCGTTCCAGATCGAACACGCCGACCCGGCCCCCGGTTCCTCGATCACCGCTCCTTCACGCCCACCATCGGCCCTAAACTCGAGTGAACAGGCATCTGGTTCCGAATATCAACATAGCGCACCTGCACCGACACAGACTGCTAACGGTGAGGGCACACTGAGGGACTGCCTGATTTCCTGCTAGGCTAACCCCGCTTCACGCAGACGCCAACAAGGGCTTAACCTTGGCCGAGCAAGAGGAGCGGGAACTGCAACAAGCTATGGCCATGTCTTTGAATCAAAATCTCGGACAGCAAGAGACGGGTGTCACAACGAATGAAGCGAAATTTGGTCGAGCTACTCGAGACCACTATGATGAAGGCGCCTGGGCAATGACGTTGTTCAATTCTACCTCTCGTGAAATTATCATAAGCCCCGATCCAGCAGAGCGGAGGAGGAAAGATGGTGAACCGGCCTTCATACGACCATCCCATGACAACATGTACCTGGGTGGACTGTTGACGATCCTTCATTCGATTCCTCTGGCGAGAGAAGCTCTTCTTCTCAGGAACCGACTTCTCACGGACTATGGAAAAGATCCACAGTGGTGGAACGGCCAGTCTATTACTCTTCCTAAGATTGTCACTATTGATGACGCGCAGGACGGTGATACTGAATGGGACGATATTATATACGAAGCCCAGCGAGTGGCAGCATTTTTGGACACTACCGATCGCGCCTTCGGAAGTGCTGATGCATTAGCCAACCTGAAAAGCATGTCCAGTTACGACTCGGAGGGCAGCGCGGCTAGATTTTTGGAATCGTGGCAAGAAGCTGCGGTTCGGGCAGACCCAGACAATCAATTGGCGACCATATTCTCGTCAACTGCATATAAGCGACCTCTTTCGATTTATGACACACCATTGGATAAAGAGTTCTTCTTACTAGATTCCTACGTGGAGCAAGAGCATGGCCAGACTCTCTATGATGTTATCGACCACACCATGTGGTCCGACAGACCGGGCGAAGATCTTGACGACGTATGGCTAGAACACGTCGCAGAGGTCTTCACAATCAAGCTGGAAGGCTCCAGTAAACCGGTTGATGTGAAAATCCCTGCAGTTTTCTATCCTGATCGGTATCTTGCGGCCAACCGAGATCTCTCAAGGGAGTTCCGTGCGCAAAGGCTCCAGATCTACGAACAAGTCTTCAGACTAGAGGGCTTGATAAATCGCTTCTCAACATCTAAGTCGGTCATTCATCAAGGACTGACCTCTAGAGAGACACTGGAAAAAGCTGCTGCTGCGGTTTCCTTGACACTGCCCAAGAGTTTGTCCAATGAAACGACTGCTTTTACTCCAGAGTCGGCGAATGCAGAGGCCCAGAGGGTGGCTGATGAGCTGAAAGCGATATCCTGTAAAATAGAAGCAAAGCTCAAAGGTAGCATTCCGAAGACCCGTATGATTGCCACTCAGCGCTAACTGGTCCCTGAAATAGAGCTGGAGACTAAGAAGCAGGATGCCATGGAAAGCCTCCGGGGCTATTCTAAAATCCTCACTGAAGCTTCTTCTTCGGGCGAGTTACCACATCACAAGTACACACTGCGGGGCGTGTGTACTGAGCCGCATGTGACTTATGTTCTAAAGCGCCGTGTCTCCGAAGGCTCCACGAATGGATGCGCTACCCCAGCCGATGATGAGTATCAATGGTGGCGGATCAGCTTTTCGACCGACGATGCGACGAATCGCCAGGCCGGAACAAGCTCAGAAGGCGATGCAGCTCTGCACAACTCCGACGTCATTGGGTATACCGCTCGCAAGGTCAGGGAAATTGAGGTCCTTCGAGCGGCCCGCGAAGAATCTAAGAATGTCTTGCTTGTCTACGCCAATAACAATGCAATGAACGTGCCGGAAGAGCCAGCTCCCAGTCAACTTCAGGTAAGGCAACGTCTACTGATTGGCGGCAAGAGTGATTGGAACTAACAGCGGCAATTACAGAAATTCGTGCACTTAGACAATCAAGCATTTGAGGCCGAATGTCAGGAAGTAGATAGTACTAGAACCCAATCTGGCCGCCAGAACCGTGCATTGAGTGCTTCTGTCAGTTCCCAGGAGGCATAGCTGAAACCTCAGGACATTATGTGCTGACGCATTGAACAGGAACCGCTCAATCAACAGGAAGGTCGTACAACGCCAAATGTGAATGTGTTTGACTACCAGGTTCCATCATTTGACGAGGGAGTGGGCCGGGGGCAGGAAATGGAGGAAAGAGGTGGACGCCCTTTGCTCAGCCGGAGTAGCACAGCTGGACCTGTGCAACCTTCGCAGAATGCCGATGCGATGTGGGACCAAGTCGACGACAAGGCGACATGACACCCAGGGCTGAAGTCTTAAGTTGATCCGTAATTATTGTCATTTAGACTAAATACCTAGGCGTCCCGCAATCGAGATCTAGAACCTGGCATAATTAGATATAGCGCTTGGAATGTCAAATGAGAAGCAACTTAAGGCTGAGCGACGCATTAGGATCAACAGGGTTTTGTTTGACCATTGTTTGGGACTAAATAATGGGCTCCCCCACGTGCCGTTTGTTGATGTTGTATGTCACGTTTGCATTGTCCACCCCCCCAACGACGCCGTCTTCCCTTAGCATCGAGATTCGAGAACCGTGGTTCCAGCAACATTGTCCGAACAGGGTAACCTCTACTAAGCAACCTACACAATGACCCTCGAAAACGACGCGGTCGCCGGTGCCACAATTGAGCTCCTCGAGACCCGTCTGCGGCGTCTCACATACCTCTTGACCGGCGATGCAAACTGGACTGGCAATCCCACGCCGCCCGCAAAGCCCGCATCTCTCGATGACAGCGTCTCGCGCCGTCTTCTTCGCCTAGAAAGGGACCTGGAAAAGCTGAGCAGAAACATTCCGGCCGTCAGAGATGTCCTGAGTCTCCGTATGAATGACCTTCTTACATCTGATGAACTGTGTACGTAGGGGTGGATCAATAGCTAATCTAGTATTTCGTCCAGACGACCGCTTCCCCGACCTCTTCCGCCAAACACCTTCCAAATCACTCCCTGAGAATCTATCGACACAGAACCTCGCCTCAATTGTCCTATCCTACGCTTCTGCATTCCCCGAAACCGCCTCCCGACTCACTTCGTTGAATGACCTCCCCATCCCGGACGCCGAGACTTCAGCGTCGCTTATCCAGCTCCAGCCGCGACTGGACCAGTTGGCGCGAACTCAGGAGGACCAGGCCAAACAAATCTCCGAGCTACGTGTGCGGTCTGCTCGAGTCTTGCAGCGATGGTACGAAGTGGCGCTGGTTAGTGGCGGTGAATGTTGGGCCGAATGGGAAGGAAGACTGGAGGATGTGGAAAGGGAGGTCAAACGGGAGGAAGTGGTGAGGGAGCGGCGAGCGAAGGAGTTGTGAGAATGAGGCAGTTGCTTTTTTTTCTTCTTCTTCTTCTTCTGGTTCCGTTCCCTTGTTCTTTTAGCGTGCTTGGCTTGTGATATGATATGATACCTCTTTGTTTGTCCTGGTCATGGTTAAGTTAAGGGTGGTCGTTATAGAGGAGAATGTTGTGTAGTAAGTAATTCTTTCTTCTACTGAACGTAGACGAACGAGCCATTCATCCATTGAGAACCATCGTCTTGTGTGGCAACGACCACTGAATAGGCAGTGAAGCCGTTGGTAATCATCAGGCCTTTCTTTTGTTTCTTCCATCTGGACATGAAACAGACCGACCGGCCTTTGATCTTGCTCCCTTCCGGGGGTCCATCAAACAAAGACCGGCAGCCGGGGTTGCAGTATACCGACGACGCACGGAGAGGATCTGGACTCCCGGCAGAACTGATCGACCACGCCGAAATCCGGAAGGAAGAACGGCGCATGTCCCTATGTCTACTAGTAGTCACAGTGATCCGTGTGTACTCCATACTTACTGTAGTAGTATTGAGTGGGTATCTACAATACCTGCTGAAAGTAGACTCAAAGGTTACCTGGCTCATTTCAAGGACACAAGTCACCTTACCTTACGGAGTACATACATGGTACATATTAGAGACGAAGAAGACCCACGGGGAAGAATTCCGACCGGGTACTTTTATGTCTGTCTCATGAGCGCGATCCTTGCATGAGGAGCATGAAAGTGTGTTGTGATTGTGATTGTGATGAGAAGGAGGATACGTCGTGGGAGATTCTTTGTTTGGCCTACCTTATATGTGTGTGTACGAGGTAATGTTTTGACGGAGGGGAGAGAGTACAAGAAGATGAGCTCGTGATCAGATGTGTGTCTGTGTGTGAGTGTGATACGAGGTATAAGGATTGCTATAATCGTACCTAGGTAACTCGTGATTCTTACTGTGTTGGGCACAGCCAGCTGTGTCTCACCTGCTTACTGTGTACGGTATGAATACTGTGTGTTTACACAAGGTTGCTTGTGATGGGCTGGCTGGTCAGCAACAGTCCGATAGGGGGTATCTGCAGGTCTAAGCCTTGCAGTCTGAGATATGGATGATGATGATGATAATTTGGTACCTTTGCAACTATGTTTATGAATTCATTCCTGCTTAATTACTAGTTATGTAGTGAAGTAATAATGAGTGCTATGCTAGAATAAAACCAAATTTGGACCAGTGTTCCATACGAGTCATGTTATTCCCAAATAACCAACTACCGAAGGGGAAGAACACTATCACCATTTATTCCCAGGATCACCTGGGGCGTAAGCAGCAGCAACATGATCAGCAGGGTTGGAATCGTGGCAGTCAGTGTAAGGCTTAATTTAGAGTGGCTGTTTTCCTTCGAAAGAAACCGTTGGTTGTCTGGTATAAGAATGTTGGGTGAATCCTCGCTGAGCCATGTCGTACGGTGTACATCGCTACCAATGATCTCGTTATGTATTTGAACTACTGTAGTAGTAACTATTAAATTTCGCAGGTCTCAAGCGACCAAACCAACTGTTCAAAACGGTGGACACAGGCCATCGACGCCGCCACGAGAGCCACAACTCAGCCTCAGCCTTTCCAGGGGCCAGAATGGACGAAGAGAATCCACCACCGGCACTAAAAGAGGGGCGACGAGGCCCTCCGGGAAATCGACTAATCAAACAACAATCATGACCGGAGTTTGCGTGTCGTGCCGCCTCAAAGCGGGTTAGGCCGGGACCCAGTTTTCATAAGGAAAATGCATCGATCTCATTAGTATTCTTTCTCTCCCGGGGGGTAAAAAAAAACAAGACACATTGACACTACCTAGTACTACTAGTAACCGAAGTGGTAGTAATGAGAGGGGAATGAGATGGGCCGTGGAAATTAATATTACTTTTTTGTCTAACGGGATGAATTATTAAAATTGAAATTGTTTGACGTGCACATGCCAATCAAAATATAATCATTGTTATTGTGAAGTCTAGTCTAGGCTTTTTTGAAAATCTCAATGAAAGGGACGACGTACTAAAGCTGAGCTTAAGTATCCTTTCTTTTAATGTATTCACCCATTGATAATTAATGCGACCATAATTGAAAAAATAAAGATAATTACAACTTGCGATTAACGAAATGACAGCAGATACTACTTACTTACTGTAAGTCCGGAGTAAATAACCTACAGGACAAGTCGTCATCCTTCACAGCCCGGTTCTTTCCCCCCCTTACTATAAGAATAGTAACGGCAGAGAAAACCACTCTAGTAGTACCCAATTGTTAATTGGTAAACTAACCAAGTAGTTATCTATCAACTGATGAACTAGGTAGACAGAATAATAGAAATAGAACTATTAGTTAGATAGATAGACAGATAGATAGATGTATGCCAAACTGCCATACGTCGCAGGCCACGCACTAAACCCAGGGGGGGCCCCCAAAAAGACAGTGCCTGAGGGTTAAGTACTGTCTTTCTGCGGTTCGCGTGGGCCACTCGGGCCAGGCACCGTCGCTCTGAAACTCGATCCCATTTGTTTTCCCTTTCCCCTTCCACCCAATTGTCCCCATTCCCATCCACTATCCACCCATCCATCCACCCACCCATCCATCATCTCCTTTTCCCGGACCTCGAACCTGGAACTAAGTAGGTCTCGCTCACGGCTCCCTCCAGATTTGGGCTTCGCCTTTCTCCATCTCCAGCCGTTCCCATTCCTCTCTTTCTCTCATCATTCCCTTCTCCTCTATCCGGTCGGCTTGTCTACCCCATCGACTTTTCTTTCCCTTTCCCACTCGTTTCACTCGTTCACCCCTCCCCCCCCATCGTCTTCTCTATTATCTCTATTTTCATCTATCACCTTTTGTTTCTTTCCCTCTTTTCCCCTCTTTTTTTCTCCTCCGTCTCCCGCTTCTCTTGATTCATTCCTCTGCTTCTCCATCCGCCTCTTTTCGACACTAACGTTTCATCATTATCCGTTCTTCTCCAGCCTGGTGCTGCTGTTTCTCTTCGTGCTTCTGCAAGGGGCATTCCGTGGGCTTGTCTGAACACCAACCCAAGCCAACCTCTCCGAGCACTTGTTCCTCGATTCACTCCTTCGATTGCTCCGCCGGTTTGAGACGATCGGTGCCACTGCTTCTCTTCCTCCCCTTTCGCCGACCCTCAGCCATTCCACATTCATTTAACCTGTCTGTCTCAGAAGTATGTGATGCGTCGATCCTTGTTCTTGTTCCTCTAAATCTTATTTCGAGTTTTGGTCGCACTCATCCGCTTTACCTTTCTGTCCTGTTCCCTGCATGAGGCTCCTTGGGGATCGCGTTGTTGTCGTTCCTCACGATGTCCTCCGCGCGCCGTCGATCAACTTGCATGTTCCTTGATCATACACGTTCGCCCACCTGAGCACCTGGCTAATTGCTCTGTAGTCGGACACTTTCTTCCACCTTGGTCGGATCTCACGCTCATTGCCACACTCGACGGTTTTCCCATTCTCAGATCACATCCGACCTAAATCGTCAATTGACTCAACACATTAAAGGCATAGAAGGACCTTTTCTGCTACTTTCCATATACACCATCGGGGCCTTCAAAGTCATCGTCGCATCGCGTCTTGAATAGCATCCTCCCATTCCGGACGCTTCTATATAACTTCTCTGCGACCTCGTTCGAACCACATTCATGGTGGCTTACTCTTCGCGTTCCCCCTCCTTCCAGAAGCCATATACCTATCCTGAGCCTCCACGAAAAATGGCGCGCTTCAGAGCCAGCAATATTCTGGGCGACCCTTTTGCGCTCGCGACCACGTCCATCTCAATTGTATGATTTCAATCCATTCTGGTGCGATGGCTCGGGTTCACGGCTAATCACCTTTTCTTCGTTTAGTTGGCCTGGTTGATCGCATTCATCTCGTCCATCATCACTGGCGTACATGGCGGATACCCCACCTATTCGTGGTGGGCTGTTGCTTACTCCTTTTGCTGCATTGCTGGTATGGCGCTTGTCTTCGGCACCGATACTGGTACCGTCTACAACATAGCGGTATGTCGCATAATAGACCCAGTCTTTCGACAACCCTTCGTACTGACTTATGGCAGATCGTGGGGTATCTTTCCGCTGGTCTTGTTATTACAACAATCTCCATCAACTCGTTAGTGTATGCGAACAGCGCCGCATCGCAAGCTGCCGGTGCTGGGTTCATTCTTTTGGCTATGGTTATTGTAAGTGATAACCGGCTTCGACACAGACCCACTAGGCAGTACGTGACTTACCTTTGATGCAGATCATTTGGATATTCTACTTCGGATCTAGCCCTCAGGCTTCGCATCGCGGCTTCATCGATTCGTTCGCCCTTCAGAAGGAAGGTGCTGGCTCGTATGGAAATGGCAGGCCTATGTCAACCGCCTTCGGCAATAGACCCGAGACGACATCCAGCCAGCCCCCGCAGATGTACACGTCCGCTCAACTCAATGGCTTCGAGACTTCTTCCCCCGTGTCGGGCTACCCCGGTGGAGCCCCTGGCTCCGAACACCGCAGCTCCTCGCAGCCCCGCTTCGGCAACCCGTCCGCCACGAACCTGCCTAACAATGGCACACCAGATGAGGTTCCCCAGCCAACGGAATATCCGTACCGTGCGAAGGCCATCTATTCGTATGAGGCCAACCCCGAAGACGCCAATGAGATCAGTTTCACCAAGCATGAGATTTTGGAGGTGTCCGATGTGAGCGGTAGATGGTGGCAGGCCAGGAAGGCCACCGGAGAGACCGGTATTGCTCCATCCAACTACCTGATCTTGCTGTGATCGATGCAGAGCAACCCACGGTGTCACGTCCTTTCCTTCTTCTGTCTTTCTGGTCTGTCATGGTTCTCGCTATTTTGTCGCGAGAGAAAAATCAGTTTTTGATACCCTTCGAGTAGTATCACTCGGCGTGATTCTGGTTCGCGAAGTCATGTTACGTTTTGATGGCCCTGTGTATTTTGTTGGTTTATTTGTCGTTCACTAGAGACATTTCTCTTCGTTTTGTTGTGCGTGTTGGCATATTTGATTTATGTGTGCTCCCCGACTCCTTCAGCGGGAATTTGTGCTGTTGATATGTTATGTATGGCCTTCGGATCTGTTTTGATCATGCCCAGAAGCACCCTCATCCTTGACGGTTATATCTCTTTCGTGTTACTATTGGAAATGAGTCCGTGTTTAAATGCTATGCTATCTTCTCGCCTCCTGACTGTCCATAAAAAAAATGAACGATACGTCGCACAAGTCAAATTAGACAGGTCGTATTCGATCTTCTGCATTTGAATGGTGGTAGATAAGCAGGATAGATATATAGAAATCAAGTAAACTCCCATTGACCGATCTTATTCCGCGACCACGTGCGTCGAGCGATTGACTTCCCTGCTGGCCGACATGAGGTATCAGAAAGACCGCTGCATCCAAGCCCGGCATTCTTGATCGCAGTCCCGCATCGTGGAGCGGCCCATCCAGACATGTTGTGTTCCTTGGAACTATTCATCCACCCGTTCCCGAATACTCCGCCCGAGCCCAGTCCCCGTCTAGAACTTTTTCTCCCTGAATTCTCCTCTGGTTTACCCGTCTTGTCCTAGTTTCGGTTCTTCTTGCTTTCTCCATCTCCCCGCTCTGTCCAATGATGTGTCCCTTTTCCATATCCCCTCCGCCATCAGACCCAGCGGATAAGTAGTTAGTACTAAGTAGTAGTTCTTTGCCCACCCACTGACGGCGGAACTTCCCCCGGACAATTAATTCTTCAGGCTTTATTTCGCTCGAGCGTTTCCGCTTGATAAGTCTGCAGGGGAAGCGGTGATGATGACAGTAGTGATTCTTTAACTGTTTTCTTAGGAATACCTCTTCTTCTCCTTCTTTTGTATATATATATATTACTTACTACATTGACTATATATCTCATTGCTGGTGGTATCCGGGAAGTCGCCATACTACTACAACTTCTGTCGTTTGGCACATACACACCGATATAGGTCTCTTATAGTTTGTTATGCACTACTACCACCTACTACGTTATGACTGCTAGCGATAGTGATGACGGCAACATCACGGTTGCCTCCTATGTCCTAGGCACGATTGGCACCGTCCTCTGGTGCATCCAGCTAATTCCTCAGATCTGGTATAATTGGCGACAGAAGAAAACCGATGGGTTTCCGCCTTTGATGATGCTTTTGTGGGCTTCTTGTGCGTTTTCGGAACAAACTCCATGTTGATTTCTGCGCTTTTGTGATTGTATAGCGTGCATAGTATGGGATGGAAGATTGACGCGATGAGCTGATGCTTTGTTGAACAGGTGCCGTACCGATGGGTGCTTATATGGTTTTGCAAGTGAGTAACATGGTTCTTGGTGATTGATCTACTTAGTTTGACGTAAGGCAGCTAATGAGGGCGCTCGCAGGAGGTCAATTTACCGCTACAGATCCAGCCGCAGATTTTTGGCTTCTTTTCGCTGGTGAGCTGGGGGCAGATATTATACTATAATCAGTATGTGGTCCTTGTTTCTTTTGCTATTGTTGGTGGGATGGGGTTTGGCTTGGGAGGTTGTTAATGTTTTTTTTGTGTGTGGTTATAGTAATTATACTTGTCTCAAGGCAACGTCGTTAGTTGTTGGTACGGCGATGTTGTTTGGTGGGATTGAGACGTTGTTAATTCTCACTTTGAGGGTTTGTTTCCGCTACTTTCCTGCTATTTGCATTATGGCTAATCATTTCGGTGTTCAGATACCTTATAATAAGGGTGTGACCTGGCCGGACCTGGTGGTTGGAGTCGTTGCGGCAATTCTACTAGCATCTGGGCTTGTGCCGCCGTATTTTGAACTGTGGAAGAGAGATGGTCGGGTAATTGGGTTCAGTGAGTATTTAGTTGTGTTTTTATCGGGATTGAAACATTACTGATTGTCCGTAGATTGGGTGTTTCTGTCCATTGATACCCTGGGAGGACTGTTCTCGCTGTTCGCTCTAGGTTCGCTTGCACTGGCATGGAACCTTATTAGTATCATATGAGGCCTAACGATAGTTTTTTAGCTGCCCAGGGATCGTTCGATATTCTCGGAGGGATCATGTACATTCTCGTGTAAGTTGGATGGATATACGGGCTTGTACTAGTTGTGGACCGACTGACCCGGGTGTATGACATCTATTAGGGTCGTCCTCGAGGCAGGAATATATGCAAGCCATATCATATGGCGGATTCGATACCGCGCAGTACGCAAGGAAGCCAAGGCATCTGGCAGAAGCATCGATGAAGTGCTGGAGGAGCGAAATCAGGTCGAAACGCCTCAGGATAATAAGAAAGATGGGATCATTTCTCATCACCGAGGGAACAACAGCCTTGTGCAGCAGCAGCAGCAGCAGCATTCGGAGCTAAAAGTAACGCAAAGCATTTCGGAGGGAAATGCTGCTGGTGCCTGAAATCTGTGGCAGCGGAAAATGGGTGGCAGGTGATAGGCGTTGCGGGTGCATCTGCCATTCGCTACTATAAAGTACTTACTTAACTTACACTACGGAGTACAGATCTGAGATATCGCATCTCGACCTGAGACCCGCCCAACGGTCCGAAAGATGCGAGGCAACTACTACTACATAAGAACAAAAGAACAAAGAAAAAGGAAATGGATGGATAGATAGTCAATCATACATCAAGACCCATTTTCTAGGCCTGAAACGCAGCGAGAATGTTGCGGACAGGCCGCTGGACAGAGATGCATGTGCGCCGTGGCAGCTGGACGGTGCTAAGGGATCTTAGTTTGCCTTTGGGATGTCGCTAGTCATGCAATTGATCGCGGACAACAAACCTTTGCGCCTGCCGTCGGGTTGCATTGAAAGTTACCTAGACTTTTAAGTCTTTTTTTTTGAGGGTTTGAGCTGAGATTATTATTTAAACTGACACTTATTTAAATGGCAAGGGAAGCCCGGTGCTCTTACGGGTCCAAGCGTGGGTTAAAAAAAATCGAGCTATTTTTTTTGGGATTCTATTCCGGGTTCCCCTGACTTTGTTGTAAGTTCTCGAACTGGATGGAGTAAGTAATATTAAAGGTTGTGGATGGATGATAATCATTCTGATGCTGTCTTGGGTGTAGTAGTCCATTGTCATTGTCATTATTATCATCTATTTTATTATGATTATTCGCCTTTGATTATTTGGCTGTTAGCGCATCCCCTCTCCTCAATCCCAGTCTAGAACGGCTGTTTCCCTTCCACCCCCCCTCTCTCCTCGTCTCTTGTGGTCATCTTTCAAGCTATCCACTTCTCCCCATCTTGATCACTGTCGCTATACTATTTCTGTATTGCACAACAGCACAGTCCTCTCTTGTCCCTCCCTCGCTCTCCTTGTCTTTCTCATCCGTCTTTCCTTTTCTCTGTTTTTCTATCCGATCCTCCCTCCCCCGATCCATCCGGCCGCGTCTCTGCCGTCGTTCATTTTTTAGTTTACTTTTTTAGCCTCGTCCCCTCCCTCTTTTCAATATCGTATCTACTACCATCTTCTTCCCCATCTACTCCATACTTTAGTACTGCTCCTTTGGATCGAGCCATGCCGAGTGGCCCATTGTTTGCTGCACATTTCCCCCGTCTCTCCTTCATGCTTGGATGCCATTTGGACCGGCGGAGGGTTCACTGACCTTTCCCGCGTGTCGTTCTTTTCACGATCTTTTTTTTTATCTTTGGGGTGTATCCTCTTTTGCTTTTTCTTGCTTCTCGTTATCTTTTCTTTTTGGGGTTTCTATCTCGTCAGCTGCTGATTGTCCCCTTCTTTTCTCTCCTCTGCATTGCGGTAAGCAACGGAGGCAGACTTGAAAAGGACCATCGACCTGTCACACGGGAAATTGAGGGACAATTTTATGCAGTTGCACGATGCCAGACCGTCGCTGGGCCAAGCTCAAGGCAAAGCTGTTATTGCGGCGATCGTCGTCAACATCGTCCGTTCCCGCCGCCACCAGCAACATTATTGCCAAAAACAATGCCCATGATGCCCACGCCCAACAGAGTTGCGCCCCAGGACAACTGAACGATTCGATCGCGGATTGTCCCCCAGCGCGACCCATCTGTTCCAACCGGCGCTCGGTATCATTACAAGCTGTGCCCCAAGCCTTGAAGCTAAAGAAGGAGGAGGAGGGGAAGGAAGAGAGGTCAGAAGAGGAGGACGATCGGGCGAGTGCAGCTGAAGGGAGGCGGACATCGGTGATTGGCTCGAAAGGCGGGCGGTCGAGGGGATCGTTGGAGGAGGAAGAAAAGCAGGTCGAGAAGTTGGAGAACTGCAACTTCAAATCGAAATCCTCCTCTCCCCCCGAACCGGTCGCGGAACAACGTGAGGGACAACGGCACTCGCTCCTCGTTCCTCCAGGTGCCGGTGCTGGTGCTGGTCCCAGTGCTTCCCCCCAGCGTCAGCAATTGGACGCGACGACTTCTTGCGACCGTGTTCGCCCCGCGCCCTGCAGGCGTCACAGTCACGGTCCCTTTTCCGAGCACGTCCTTTCCCCACCCCCGACAACTCTATCGCCAGATCTGCTCCCTTCGCCTTCTCCTACCCCTCCTCCCCCTGTCTCTGATCGTGGTGTTCTTTCAGCCTCCTTTCAGTTTGGCCAAACGCAAGGCTCCGATCGCCTGGGGCCTACGGTCGCGGAGCCGCAGTTGCCCGTGTTGGATGTCGTTGCGGAGAATCCGTCGGTCGAACCAGAATTTCAGCCCTCCTCCAACCATACTCCCGCTCCTTCCTTCCCAAAGCGTCCCAGTCTAGGCTCCCGTCGTCAGTCGCTGCTGGCCCCGTCTCATCAACACCTGATCAACAGCCTGTTGGATCCCGGTTTGACCGCAGAGCCTGAGACTAACGGTAACGGTCGCTCCGCCACCTACAGTACAGGCATGTCTCGCAAGATCTGGGTCAAGCGGCCAGGCGGGTCGGCCACCTTGGTCCCCATCTCGCTCGATAGCTTGGTGGACGAGCTACGGGACCAGGTGATCCTGAAGTACTCGAACTCGCTTGGCAGAACCTTCGATGCCCCCGATATTGTCATTCGCATTACTCCGCGAGATGGATCGAATAGGCAGACTACTCCTGATCGGATGCTAAGCCCGGAGGAGCCGCTGGCAAGCGTGGTGGACTCATATTACCCGGGTGGTCAAGCTATCGAGGAAGCTTTGATTATCGATATCCCTTCGCGTCGCACTCCAAAGCCTTCTCCACGCCATTCAGTATATTACAACCACCATCATTCCGAGCCGGGCGAGCATGGCGAGTACTTTCCGCTCATGCCGGCGAATCCCAGTGTTCCCACGCCGCCGACGCATCCGTCTACTTCGTCCGCCAGTGTTAATGCTCATCCCGCCCCATCAATATCAATCCTGACAACAGGAATGGCCCCTCCGCTGCCCTCGCCAGGGAGTCGCGGGACTCGACATCCCCGTCGGCCGCCTCTAACTCGTCATGCCACAAACTCACCCACCATCCTCAATCAGGCGCCAACAGCGAAAGGTCGGTCAAATCCTAATATTAAAGAGCGACAAGACGTCGCATGCAACTGCTAAGAAACCTGCTAACTTTTGTGAGAAGACCCCGGGATCGTCCCCAGTAGTATCCCTCCGCAGCCTGCTCCGTCCATCCCTACTCCGCCAGGCCCGCCGCCAGAATCCCCGCAGGCCAAATCTCTCACCCCTCCAGCACGCGGGGCATCCCCGCGTCCACGCCCCTCCGCATCCTCCGCGAAGCCGAAGAAGACCAGCGCAGCACAAGCATTGAGCGGGGTCTTTGGAGGCCTCATCGAGGGCACGGTACCGCCCATCAACGTCTTGATCGTAGAGGACAACAACATCAACCAACGTCTCTTGGAAGCGTTTATGAAACGTCTCAGTGTCCGCTGGAAGTGCGCGGCGAACGGTGAAGAGGCGGTGAACAAGTGGCGCCAGGGTGGTTTTCATCTTGTCTTGATGGATATCCAATTGCCCGTCATGAACGGCCTGGATGCGACCAAGGAGATCCGCAGGCTCGAACGCCTGAACGGTATCGGTGTGTTTCCCAAGACTGCTGACGGGCGGTCGAGCGCTGCCACTGCCAATGCGGCCTCGCCCTCGACATTTGCGGGCAGTCGGGAACCTCTGAAGGCAGAGGATACATTACACGATCTGTCTCTGTTTAAAAGTCCCGTCATTATTGTAGCCCTGACCGCGAGCAGTCTGCAGAGCGATCGTCATGAGGCTCTTGCAGCTGGCTGCAACGACTTTTTGACCAAGGTATGCATATATCTTCTCGGACTATCATCCATTTCGCGTTTCTATCGCAGCATGCTAACATCTTGCGAAGCCGGTTCGCTTTGAATGGCTGGAGCAAAAAGTGACAGAATGGGGTTGCATGCAAGCCTTGATCGACTTTGAAGGCTGGCGCAAATGGCGCGGTTACGCCGATGACACTCAGTCTTCGCCCACGTCTGATGGCCATACGAGTCCCATGCAAACTGGCGGAGACGGAGTTTCGCGGAAACAGTCCCCTGTTATACCACTCTCGCCATCCTCTACTTTGAGTCAAGGAGCCACCAAGAAGGACCGCAAAACCCCAAGTTTCCCTAAACCCATCGACGTTACACCCGAAGACTCTTCCGGCAGTGGTAGCGGCGAGGGCTTGGACTCACCTGCCAGTCCGGTAACATCAGTCCCTATTCCAGACGGTCCTGCAGATCTTGATGCACTCTAATTGTTCCTCATGCTATACAATTTTCCTCCGAACGGGGATACTATCACCTCGACCGATTGTCAGACTGCTGCGCGCCTGTGTGATTGAGCACCTCACGTGCATGTTTGATTGTCTATCACTCTCCCTCTCCCTCCCCCCCCTCTCTCTCTCTCTCTCATTTCATCTCATCTCTAAAACCGCATTTCCCGCTATTTTGCGTCTTCCAATGGATACCCAGCATAGCCCATCGTCGATCTTATTTTCTTATTATACTTCTTTGCCTTCCTGGCGTCCGCGGCCCCCCGTACGCGGTTGTCATACACTTCATTCCCTTTGTTTGTTCGTTCGTGAAAAACTTTCAACTCCACAGGCGTCTCTGATATGTGTTTTTCCATGGTTGGTTGCTTTGGAAAAAGGGCAAGGAAGAGGGTGGCATACTCACGCATACGAATCGAGATGTCGTTTTTGTCGTTTCTCTGTTATCATTCTTATTATCCTTACACATCTACGTGTATGCCGCCTTTGAAGAGACCTGGCCTTCTGTCTCTTGTGTCTTGTGTCTGCCTCGTAGACTTGCTCTTGATGTACATAGATCTTTTTGTCGATTGGATGGGTGGTTTTGCCCTCCTTGAATTATATATCACCATTATGTAACTTATTTTTCTCTATTCTGTTATTCTACATGGACTGGTGTGAATTAAACAGACATTAAAGACAGATATCTTGTTCAACTCTTATATGTAGTGTAGTATTGGAGAATCCAGTTCGAAGAGAGGTAGGTAGGTGATGGATAATAGTAAAAGGGCTATAGATACATATTCATGGCTTCCAAGTAGAAGAGGAAATGAAAAGATAAAAATGGGTGGGGTAGTAACCGAACAAGCTCCTCGGAAAAAAAGGGAAAAGGAAATATCAATCGATCAACCAGTCGAAAAGGACTGTATCGTACAGCTGAAATACAAGGCAACCAAGAGGGGCATACAAATACATCCACCATCCATACCGCACTGCGAGATGGACGGGCTATACAGGGGGGGATCTTTCATGTCATTTGGGAGGAAATAAGCATGATTGACGAAGAAAGAAGGGAGTGTAATCCAAGGTCAAGATATGCAAGCTTAGACCTCCACACGGGTGGGGATCTTGACCTGGCCCTTCTTCCGGTCGTAGCTGGGGACACCGTATCTGCGACCAGGAGCGCGAGCGTTGCGACCATCCTTGCCGGTGGTTTCCTGGCTGACGACAACGTCGTTGATACGGAACTCGAAGCGAGAATCCTCGGGCCGCACACGCTGCGTCTGCTTCTCCTTACGCTCCTGGGCGAGACGCTTGCGCTCCTGATCGGCAGCGTCTTGCGTCCTGAGGCGAGCCTTGTAGAGCTTGGGGTGTTGGCGAATCTCATTCGGTACCTCATTTATGTCACGGGTACTTGTGACCATGTGCGGGTGCGGAATACGCACGTCCGCCGCCTGGAGGACCTGATGCTCTTCATCGCCTTTGCCGACGAGCTCGATGCGCGAGGGGTTCTGAGTAACCCGGCTGATGGCCTCAGAGGGATTAGCAACATCCTTGGCAAGCTGCTCGTGTTCTAAAGCCGGGGCAGCGGAGAAGACACGGCCAGCGTCAACACGGTTGAATTGGCGGGACTCAGAGACGGGATAGAAGATTTGAGGGTTGGTGAGGCGGTGGACGGGCAGGTCGTTGATTTCTTCATGGGCCTGCTCGGGAGGCGTTACGGGAATCATTTCATGAATGGCACGAGCGTAGGGCACAGCCAAGGGTTTACCCTGAAACAACAAGTCTGTTAGTTGTGTTTGACCAAAGTACAGGCAGCATGATCAGAGCTTGTGATAGTAATAACAACAAGAGAGAAACGGTGTATATCAGAAAAAATAGGCGTTGTAACCATTCCCAGTCAACTGGGTCATAAAGACTAATCGAATTTATAATTTTTCTCATCATTGCACACCGCGGGTATGTCCGCTTTGAAAGGTAGAAGGGTAGGAGGGGTAACGCATTGGTGATGACTTGGAAGGATCTGTAAACATACCTGTTTCTCCATCCGCTTTTCTAACTCGACCAGCCGGACTACAGCAGCGACTCTCCTCATGTCGACCTTCAGCTCGACACTGACAGCACGCACACTCTTTTTATTTATTACTACCCGGTTGTAAATCTCCGTCCGCAGCTCCTCACTGAGGATGCTCTCTGAGCGGTAGGCAGGATTGGCTGGGAAAATTCTGTTCTCAACAACCGGCGAATCCTTGAGTTTGGGATTGGTCCGAATGAGGTAGTTTGTTGAGCCTGGAGTATGGGTTCTCAACTTAGCTGCGTCGGTGTTGAGCCACGTAAACATCTCTCTGCGACGCCTAGTAGTTTGAGGGGCCGGCGTGGACGAGAATGACCGACACGAACGCCATGACTCTTGTGATGAGGGGCATGTGGTAGCTAGCCTGGGAAGACATGTGGAGGAGGATGAGGTAGATGATGTGGAAAGGTAAGGGAGGAGAGTGTTAGAGACGACCGAGTTCTGTATTCGGGGCGCCATGGTTGTTTAAGGGGACAGGGGGTGAGTGGGTAAGAGTACAAGGATCTCCGACGTCAATGGACCAGATTCCGAGTAGAAGCAATCCAATTGACAAGGTAGGGAGTTTAGTGGAGGAGGGGAAGGAGGAAGGTGGATGATATGGAGGTTCGAGATGGAAAGAAAGGCACGAACTCGACGGAAGAAAAGGAAGAAACTTTTCGGCGCGGTGGTGGTCACGTGAAGCTACCGGTGGTGCGGCGCTTGGCCCGATTGGGGAGGAAGCTCTGGACGGTCCCGCCAGCAATTCTCACTATTCGGCTTCGGCTTCATTCCCCACGGGCTCCCAACAGGAACTACGAACATTCTCCCTCCAGGTTTATGACTGTCAAACGTTCTAAAGTGAATGACCGGTGCAATTCCATTGTTGAAGCTGGTACATGTAGAGCAATTTCCCGCGAAGTTAAAAGAAGGGAAGCAAATTCAACATGCCTCTTTTCCAGGGTAAATTCCCGCTCATCAACAGATCCCCCCCCGGCAAAGGGAACAAATAGAAGAATCAAGACTAGCAAAGGTGACGAAGAAATAAATAGGGTAGTAATAGCCTCCATGACTCCCATGTAACCCAAGCAATGACGGAAGAGCAACAACGCTGCAAAACACGATGCGAATAAGGGACGAACAATGCGCTACAATCCCAGGCGGCCAGCAGCAGCCAACACATGCCTTGGGATACACCCCTTGCCCAATGATCAGAGTAAGACAGATAGATGACGTCCCAGAAATGTATCTCAAGTGTATAGGTACCCAGGTAAACGCCCCGCACAATGATTAGCTGTTGTCCAGATGAAGGCTGCAAACAATGTATCACAACACGGGAGGGTGGTCGGTAGCTCAAACAAGATCCAGTACAAAGGATTTCCCTCCGGGATTCCCGTGATTTCTGGCTTTCTGGTCTCGGCCAACGCATCCTTCTCCCATCCTGCGTGATTGAGGGGGTCAAACGAAGGGCTGAAAGGTTTAATCAAGCAAAACGATCGGCAATTTCCCACATGTAGACAATAGCACGCACAGAAGAATGAAGAAGAACGGACAGGCAATCGAAGCCCCACCCCCCGCCCTCTCAATAGGGAGGAAAGGCAGAGAAAGCAACTATTAGGAAAACATCTGAATAGATAACGCAACAACACGGCACAGGGTATGAAGGTAGTGCAAACATGACGACAGGGCAAGTGAAACAAGCGAAGTTGGCAATGAAAATCCACACGGGCTCCTGGACGTATTAAAGAGAAACCCATACGCGCACAAATGCAATGTCTCCCACCCAAGAAAAGAAAAAAAAAAACAACAAACACGACATGTATAGTAACAGCGCCCCTGATCCCATGCTATCGGAGTGCACAGCAAACGAATGGAATACAATCATAGAAAGCAAAGCTGAAAAAGCGAGAGCCCCGTGGTCCTTACTCCCAGGAGGAAGGCGAGCCTCCAAATGCTGATCTAGCTCATGAAATAGAAACAATAACAACCCCCAATGCGCCAGGTAGCCCAGTGATCATCAAGCATGTCGGACATTATCTCCACAGAAACGTGCACCTTCCTACCGACCCATCATATAATCCGGATAGTAGGAATTGTAGCCACCCACATTGGGTCCCGAAGCTCCGCCGGTGAGCTGAGGTGGCGGGGACACCATTGCGTTCATCGGATTTGTCCGAATTCCAAGTCCCGAATTGGCATTGAAAGTACCGTTGTTGGGCAATGGTGCATTTGGACTCCCGGAGGGATGCATGGCACCGTTGTTCCTAACTGCCACGGGCGGGACCAAGCCTGGAGGCGCAGACAGGCCCGGTGGCGGTCCACTGACCGTCGAAAACATGTGGTTATGCATTCCACCGAGACTACTACCCCCAGGCACACCACCTTGAGAGGCCATGGCATTAGACGCGCTCATGGAGCCGGGCTGTCCTGATCGGACCCCGAGAGGGTTCTTCGAGAAGCTTAGACGGATGCCGGTCTTGATGCTGTTGGACAACTTCACGCCATACAACTCGTTCAGGGCTTTGCCAGCGGTGCCCACGTCGTCAAATTCCACGAAGCACATCGGCCCATTCTGTTTGTTTCGAAAGCACAAACGCTTGTATCCACGCTGCTTAGAGAACAGAGCCTTCAGCTCTTCCTCGGAGGTATCGGGGGGTAAGTTCCCCACGTATAATGTATTGCACGGAGGGTTCATGTCGTTCGGATTGGCTGCAGGGAGACTATGACGAGGTACATGCGGATTACCATAAGGGAACACATGGCCCGTCCCGATGTTATTGTTCATCGGTTGGGGAAAGGTCGATGGAGGGTTTGGAACGCCGACGTGCGCGTTTCCTCCTTGGTTGTAATTCGGTAGTGGAGGGGAATTGAGATTGCCAGCCAAAGACATGTTGGCAAACTGGTTACCTAAAATCTGAGGGTTCGTGGAACGTCGAGGGACAGAGACAGAAGACGAATGCCCGTTTTCGGCATAGCCCACGGGATCCTTGAGCAGCTCTCCAGTGTCTTCATCAATATCCTGATCAATCATCGATTTGCCACTGACTCGCGGGAGCTCGGGAACGCCGTTGCCGATCGGGGACTGGGGGGAGAAGAGACTATGGAGACGGGAGCCAGGTTCAGATGGGGGCAGGGTATCACCAGAGGTAGCAGTGGTCGCGTTTAGCTTCTCCAAAGTCTGGAAAGTCCCGTTGAAGCGCGACGACTGTCGCGGTAAACCTCCATTAACATGTCCCAGTAAGCCCCGAGTCGCGGTGTGGTCAATCGTGTTTCGTCTGGGCACCAAGGAGGAACCAACTGAGCCGTAAAACATTTCCACAATCATGGTGGCGTCGTTCTTCGAATTCGGTTTGCCGTCGAGAAGTGCTCGTGCCTCTTCCGCAGCAGCCAGGGTGCTGAAGCGCGCGACCGCACACAAGTATCCGTTGTCCTCCGGAGCGTCGGAAGGCACGAAGTCGGCATCCACAAAATCTTTGGCAAAGAGGAGCATGCTGCGCAGAGCATCGCGACTGGTGTTGCGCGGTAGTTTGCGCATAAGGATTGCGCCGCCACCTGTTCCATTTGTCGGTCGGATAAAGCCATTCAGGCCCTGCGCCGACCGATCCGAGTCGCCCAGACGCATAGCAGATGAGGAAACGTTGTCAAAAGTGGAAGAGGGGCCGATAGGGGAGAAAGGGTAGGTAAACGAAGGACCTAACGAAGTTGGTGCCTGCGATGCGGGCGTATTGTACACGTCGGTCGACATCGCATTCTGGGCCGTCGCGGGCGCTTGAGAGGCCGAAAGCGGCTGGTGGGTAGGCGACGCGCCCGAAGAGACCGAGGGCGTGCGCTGAGTAGTGCTGTAGGAGCCTGGACTCGTACGGGTTGACTGATTCGAACTGCCACTCATGCCTCACGGACCGAAATTCTAAAAGCGTCTGACTCGATTGATTAACCCCACGAGCGGACGGGAGCACGGGCTCCTCCAAGAAGGTAAGGGAGTGCGGGAGGCAACCGGATGACAGATGGGACAGAGGCTGGAGGGGCTCAGCCAGAGGAGTGTCAGGAACAAGTGGAAAATGTAAAATGTTAAATCAACCAGATTATAGAATCAGAATTCTGACGCAATCTCGTTGGGAGGAAGCAAAAGTGCGATGGATCAACACGCGCAATTGCACTCGCGGTATGCGTGTTTAAGGAGGTAAGGATGCGACGGACCGAGTGTCCGAGGGAAAGACAAGAAGTAGGCCACACACGATGGGAATGGAAGAAGGAAAAATGAATTGATAATCAAATGCAAAAGGAATGATTATGCGACTCAGAAATAAAATGTAAATCGTACAGGCAGAAGTTGGGAAGGTAGAGGTAGAGGTAGAATAGGGGAGGATGGAAGACGCGAACGGGAACGGAAAGGGAAGATGGCGAAGGATTGGGGGGGGGGAGTAGGAGGAGAAAGTTGGGGGAGGGTGGGTGAGGAAGAAGGGAAGAGGAAGAAGAAAGAGCGGAAGGGAAGGACGGCGACGACCAAGACCGTTCGGGGGAAGGATAAAGTTAGATTGGGTTAAGTTTTGGGGGGGTGAGGAGGAGGAGGGAGGGAGGGAGGAGGGGGGGAGGGAGAGAGATTGGTAGCAAGTCAAGTAGTAAGTAGTGTTAGTGGGTTTAGTGAGTGTGAGTGGTGGGAAGGGAATGAGTGGGTGGTGGGAAGAAAGAGGGAGGGGGAGGCGCGTTAAGTAAGTGCCGTAGGCAGTCGTTGGTAGAATGCGTGGTGGTAGTGGTTTAGTTCGTGGTGTAGTGCAGTAGTACTTGTTTAGTGGTAGAGGACTCAAATGTAATCAATCAAATCAATGTCCAAATGGTTTTGTAGTAGTAGTACCCGCGAATCCGTTAATCAAAGGGGATCGATATGTTTTCTGACTGTAGTAATCAATGAAGAAAGAAATCGATAGATCGATTTCTTAGGTGGATGATTGTATGGAATGGATAGATGATGACGATGATGACGATGAAGATGGGGGAGAGAGAGGGAGATGGAAAAGAGAATGAGAAGAAGAAAGAGGAAGAGGAAAGGCTGCCGTACAATCGGCGTAAGGAACCGTAGGAACTGAAACTGGAAATGGAGAGAAAGGATCCGGCGAAATGGGTAGTAGTGTATCTATGGAGTAGATAGTAGTAAGTACGTGGGAGTAGTTATCTGGTAGTACTGCGTACACAGAATAATCCTAATAATGCGAATAAAAAAAATAAAAATAAAAATAAAAAAAAAAGAAGGGAAATTAATAAAAAAACTACCACTAACTAATAATAAGGTGAAGAAAAAGATGAATGAACGTCAAGTTCCGGAACGGTCTTTTTTACATTTAGGGAGTGGACTGGCCGGTCCTTTTGGACTTTTAGGGGGGGAAGAGAATACTAGGAAACCGAGTAAAGTTGAAGGGGGCGAAAGAGGGAAGGAAACCAAAGCGTCAGAGAGAGAGAGAGAGAGAGAAAGCAAGTTGACTGAGGACGGCCGACCGACCGTCTTCTGTCTCGTCTGGTCTGGTCCACGGATCGAGACTGGCTCCGTTCCATGAAGCGATGGCCAGTCGGGAGTCCCTTGGGGCCTGTCGACTAATCCCCGAACTAGAACGGGTCCAAAAAGGAAAAAAGTGACTAAGATGCGCCGTCCAACGAGCGCTTGCAGCTGAAGCGCGACCCGGCAGTTTAAGATGACACGACGCGCTATCAATGGAGTGCCAGCCGATCCCGTGCTGATGCTTGCTTTGGCGTGCTTTGGAGATCTGTCCGGTGGCCGTGTGTGCCTGGAAAGTTGTACTTCATCCATGCATCGATCAACCAACTTCTGTTTAGTTAGATCCAAATTCACATGGTTTTGCTGTTGTCGAACGATTAATTCACCTGTTTCTATCTAGGTGTCATTGGGGATTATCTTCGCATCCAGACCATCCAGGAAGACCACCCGATTGCGGCAGTCCTTCACGCAAACAACCGAAACAAAGGAGGGAACAAGCATCCGGATGCGACATCACAGGTGCGTGTCCTGAACGCCCCAAGGCGCGTGGCAAATAGGGCAGAAGGAGCCCTCTCTCAAAGGCAGAGAGATTCACATTCAACGCAACATCCAATCTGCTTAAGTTCAATTGCCGAGGCCATAGTTAAAATACATTCATTCAATTTGGGGGCTTCTCAGGGAGACTCATGGTTGGATATTTAATCTAGATAGCAACAACTTTCACTTGTATATTACAATCGAACCACAAGGGTGCGGACAGTGATAAAGATGAACAACAACATCAACATCAAGAACCTACAGTAGTCATGAAGATCCAGATCCAGCTAGCATCTACCAACCTACGCATCTATCCGATTGTAGCAGTCAGCTCAAACGGCTGAGAATCGATTCCTATTCCCCCCAGTCGCTGGTGGGGTTTTCGCATTAATCCTCTCATACAGTTGGCCATCATCTCATGCCTGCACTTATGGGGCTATACTGCAGCCTTTCCCCTTCACCTCCCAGTCCTACCTCGAATAATACCACGAGTCGTAGTCCTCCTCTTTGACTCATGCCCCCCGAGATATATGACGAAGACCTTTCCCGTGTGATAAAGGCAAAATCATCCCAACCGTGTTTATAAGAACCCTATTTACCCTATCCACCTGATCACGGGGGAGGGGGGGGTTATCGCTCTGTACGACACAAAAGCCACCCCGCGGAGCATACCCATGGATGTCGAAGAGCCATCCTGCCTTACAGCCCGAAGCCTTCCTAGCTTACTGCACATAATCAAACAGAATCGAGCGATCCACTCCGAAGCCCACAATTACCGTTCGAATTAAAGTCCAGACTCGTACTTAGGTGTAAGGCTACAGATCTAGTCGTCTAGAGCACAATGTTTTTCTTCGCCCCAATGTGTTTGTCTCTGGGTACATGACGATGAACCTCCGAATTGCTTGCCCCCAAAAGGCTCATTGAGTGACTGCCTCGGCACCATGGACCATGGACGGAAGGTATAGGCGATGCTCTCAGCTGACTGTATGAAGGAAAAATAAAATAACAAAACTCATCATCACCGTGACAAAATCGATGGCAGATTCATAGGCGCAAATGCTTACCACCTTCTCTTCTTCTGCTGAAATCAAGACTCATTCTTATTATCTGCACAAATAGCGATTAGCGCGCATAGCAAGCTAGTCAGTTATCCTGGGTATTGGATAGTCAGAACCAAACCAGGATGTCCTTCCTGGGTGTTTTCTGGCTTCAAAACAAGCCAGTCAACCAATCACAATTTTGATCAGTCAGGCAAAACGCTTACGTCCAGCTGAGACGAAACCTCCCCATACAAGAGCTAATATGAGCCCACATGAGCGACGATAGGTACTATCATGTACCTCAAGAGGGATGAGTGGGAGAGGCGGGCCCTGGTGGTGTGGCTGCCAGAGATCCATGGGAAGGACAAACTCTGACGCTGATCTTCCCACCTGAAATTCCCTACGACAGCCAATCATCACGGTCCGTCAGACGTCTGGACTCGGGACTGGTGCGTTCTGTGCCTTGCCCGCAGAACGGGATTGGTCCATGACTGACCCTCATTGCGTGGGCAATGATTGGGATTTGGGACAATGAGAGAGAGGGGAACGGGAATCCTTTCAGGTGTCCAGTGGGTGCCGGGGATAAACGGGTATCTAGTAGTTAGGAAGACCAAGGCATGGTCCTATTTTTTTCTCTCCCCCTCATGTTTACTTCTCCCTAGTGGTTGCGGAGTACCATGTCTCCGTGTACCAGGTTGCCGCTCATCCCGGGATGGATGACGGCTGAGGGAGTGGCACCGATGACTCGGGATTTACAGGTATCATAGCAGGAGCATAGGACTAGATGCCAGCAACGCGCTAATTCACCTAGATGCCTATATGCAGGTTAGGTAATGTAGACGCCAGGTTTGCGGGAAGGGTGGGAAATTCATTTTTCCCCAAGTTCGACTCGTCGTTCTGATACGTGGATGTAAGTTAGACTGATAAGACGCGATAGATAGTACCTAAAGTACACACACCTCTTAAATTTCATCTACTTTCCTTCTGTCTGGGGATTCTGAATATCTCATCACATTCTCATTCACCGAAACTGAAGACGTGCATCAAGGATCAAAGGCCCTTTCATTGTCGCAGATGTGGTTGGCTCGGATTGGGCGATCTGGGCGTTGCTTCATGACAGTGCTGATCTAACGGAAAAGCCAAGTGGTGATGCCTGCATGGTCACCTGCCAGCCTTGAGCGCAAGGGAGCAGTCATGCAGTGATGCACAAAGTACGAAGTCGCTCGCGACTTTCTGCTCCCCCCTGTCCTTATTAACTAAGCAAGATAATGAATGATTTGATCATATTGAGCCCGCTGTTGCTCAGTAAAAAGGAACACATAAGAGATGTGTATTCAGGCGTCTCCATAGATTTACCAGACTGCATCTGGAAGTTTCAACACGACCGTAGCATAGAAATGTTGCCCTCTTTCTCTGCCTCTGTTTCCGCCTCGCAGATGGAAACCCTGACTGATCCCGGAGGTGGCTTTTAGCATTATTTTAGCAGGCTCAAGGAACGTATGCCTGCCCATGCAGCGCGGAAACCTCATCCCTGCCAGTCATAATCGCCATACCTAATATGAGGCATCTGGCTGCACGTTGGAACGCTTATACCGAAAGAAAGGGGGAACAGAGGCCTGATAAAACGTATATTGTATATCACACAAGCACAGAGGCCTCAGGCAGCACGTAATCGACTCACATAATGTACATAAATTCTCGACCCATAAATCAATTCCAGGAGAATAGCTCTCAGTAAACGCCATGAGAAATGCCAGTAGCATGATATTGAAGAGAAAAAAAGAAAAAAAAGTTCTTCCACTCCGGAAAAGCCCTCATCAACGTCCCCGAAAATGACAGTATTCGCCTCGCCCTATCCGAGCAACGGAAGCTCGAAGGTGAGTGCACCGTGCAAGTATACAGATGTCGAAGTGAGCAGATATCCACGCCTCAGTTTTTCACATTCTTGCTTTCTTTCACAATCCCGGCCTGTAGTAGATACCGAATATTAGTCAATCAATGTCGTAACCCAGGTCCATATCCCCTTCCTACTAGCGGACATGCTTGTTATCCAGTGGCAGGCAACGTACGAGGTTTAGTAACTTCCAAGCGCCATCACTGGGCTGTGCGCCAACACCGATCCAGTACTTGGCTCGAGATCGATCAAGCGAAATCTCCTTGTATGCTTTGGCGGTGCGGGCCTCCTTCTCGGACAGGTTCGTAGGGCGCTGCGGAATAGGGTTGAAGGTACCGATAACTTCAAGAGGTTTCGAGTCGCGAGCCGACCTGTAGAATATATCCCCATTAGCATTGGATCTCATACTCCTCTTAGAACACTCCCAGTGAGTCGCTCGCGGAACGCGATATACTGATCCCCGGGGTCCATAAAAAATTTACCTACCGTGCCTGAGCAACAACGATGTTGTAGAACGGCTGGTGCCGGTTTCCAAAGCGGGAGAGGCGAATGCGAACGACCATCTTGACGGGCGATTTCTGCAATTGGGAAGCAAAAATAAGATGAACGACTGCACAGCAAAAGGGCAACTTGATCAAGCTCAAGCAGGCCAGAGTCTCCGACTCCGCGGCAGTTTCCAGCCTGGTCGGGAGATCTATCGGGCCGAGACTGCGGAATTCGGATTAGCGTCGGTCAGTGGGGAGGGCCCGATAACAATGATGCAATGGCAATTCCGATCACTTTAAAGAATCGCTCCTCCTAGCAATATTTCCTACACTTATCCATTGCATTGAGTATATCGGAGTGCTGCTGCATAGTCTTCACGCTCAACCTTGCACTTAAAAGGCATCATTGTATGTTCCGTGCCGCACTCCCCAGGCGGAACCCTATCCCCGCATTATTTCGATACTATAGTAGATCCGCCAAGATGTCGTTGAAGGTGTGCAATGACTTCACTATTTCCGCTGAAGAGGGAGAGTACCTCATACTCACGAGGAATATCCCAAACAGGCCATCTCCTCAAAAGATGCCGCATCTCTCGATAAAGATCTCATGGAAATAGGTGGCTGGTCTTTGGACCAGTTAATGGAACTAGCGGGCCTCTCTGTCTCTCAAGCCGGTGAGAATGCGACACCTTCCAGCAACACTGTGTATAACCAGGTACTCTGACATATCAGTCTACCGCATTCATCCACCAAGCTCGGGTAAGGATGTTTTAGTTATCTGCGGCCCAGGAAACAACGGTAGGCCTCGAACGACCCTCCATTTCTATCAGTCACAGAACAAACAACGATTCTAACCTCCTCTCAGGCGGCGATGGCCTAGTAGCCGCACGCCATCTAGCTCACTATGGGTACAAGCCCTCAGTTTACTATCCAAAGCAGGGCAAGAACGAGCTCTACCAGGTAAGCTCTCAGTAATCGCCGCACACGCAAACATACATATATGCTACACACATTACTCTCCAGCCATACACCCCAGCCTACTAACCTCCTCAAACAATACAGCGACTCAAAACGCAACTCGAGAACCTCTCCGTCCCATTCATCTCCGACCTCCCTGTAGCCATCAAATCCGCCGACTTCCTCGTCGACGCCATCTTCGGCTTCTCATTCGGCGGACCCCTCCGCGAACCCTTCCCAACCATCATCTCCCAAATCGAAACAGCCAGTATCCCCGTTCTGAGCGTCGATGCGCCCAGCTCCTGGGACATTGAGAGCGGGCCACCCAAGGAAGGCCCGGGATCGAAGTTCATGCCGGAGGCGCTCATTAGTCTGACTGCGCCGAAGCCGTGCGTGAAGTATTATAAGGGACGGCATTTCCTGGGTGGACGGTTCTTGACGAAGAGTATTGCGGATAAGTATAAATTGGATCTGCCGGAGTATCCAGGTATCGAGCAGATTGTCGAGGTGGGGGTTGATGCTGAGGGAAAGCTTTGAGGGCTGGAGTGGGTAAATGATGAATCAAATGGCCTATCTGCAAGGCTTAGGTACATAGTAGATGAAGGTCAGATTAAATTACGAGTTTACATTGTTGTTACATCATATGCGTAGCGCTATAGGACACCTAATATTAGCGATGAATATCTTGAGAATATGTCCAATATGGAATTCATGCAGTGTAGTGTGTATCGCTATCGTGAACTAGAGATGTATACGTGCTATAGACAGCACTTGTGAAGCAGAACACAGACGCTCCATGAGGTATGATTAGACCCGGGCCTTAACATGCTATACCTTCATGATAACGACTCCCTAATCTCGCCTATGATACCCTTAATTCTTGGTTCTTTACCAAGGCCCGAGCTTGAAATCTTCTTCAAAACATCTCCAACATCGTACACTTCCTTTGCCGCAGTCCTGACTTCTTCCCCTAGTCCCTTGACCAAAGTTCCTAGAGCCACAAGACCGCGGTAGACTGCTTCAGAATCCTTTTCACCGGTAATCATTGTCGTTAGCTCGCTAAGAAGGACCAGAGCCTGTTCCGATGACTCAGGCATCGATTCTCTGCCCGCAGAGGTGAGGTAAACGGCAAAGTTGATGTAGAGGGTTGTAATGGCAATGGTGAGATTTCGGTTCGGCGTCGTCCCACTATTTGTTAAAGCGGACTTGACGCCGCTCAGGATTTGCTCAAACCTGCTAGTGGCAAGGTCACGTCCCGCGTCCGTTTCGAAAAGGTTGGCGAGCATGCGTATTGACAGCATCGCATTATTAACATTGAATGGTGAGTCAAACACCCCACTAGACTGGATGCCTGAGATGAGATCCTTGCCATCGTAATCGGCCGTGGCAGTCACGGGAGTGGCAGCGGCGGACAAACGGAGAAGATCAAGACCCGGCAGTCTGCTTGCGACAGGCCAGACGGTTGCAACCTTGTACAATAAAACAACACCAGCCTCCACTGCCGGAGACTGCTCGACATTGGAAGACTCCAACTGACCACACAGGGTTGCCACCGTCTCCAACTCCGAAGGGCTGAGCGACAACTCTTTCGATCCGGAGGATATGACGTGTTGGTTCAGCTCTTGCAACTTCTTGGCGATCAATTTGAGGTTGGCAGATTTGATGGAAAGATAAGTCTTTTGCGGAAGGACCTTCGGTCGAGCCTCCGGAGCAGGAGGTGACTGCGCATCTTCGGGACGATAACGCCTCTCTTGACCCCAAGGATCGGCCCCCGCAGGCGTCGGACCCTGTGAGGTCTGCCCAAGTGTTGCACCTTGCGTATTTTGAACGATGAATTGAGCGACTTGATCAAGGTAGTTCATCGACAATTCGTTGTCCTGAATGAACTTGGTCGCAGCCTCGTACGGGTTTTGAGAGACGTTGTATGGCAATTTGAGGGGAGGTTTACCGTCTTCCACGTCAACGTCGAAGACATAGTCGTAGTCTTGACCCAGATACTCCGTTTTCCTTCCACTGCTGGCAGCGGAATCAACTACCGTACCAACTGCAACCCATTCCCGTGATGCCGCTGACCAAGTGTGAGCAGTAACGCTACCATCGTCCTCACGGATCATCTGCACCTGCCCGTCCTTGGTTCCCGATTTCTGCCTGAGAAATTCCGTACCCGGAAGCTGATCTTTGTTGATCTTACCAACCTGCTGCTCGGGAATTGCCGACTCCTTGACAGTCTTTTCGAACTGTTGTACTACTTCTGCGCTTGCCACGCGTTCCTGGCTTCTGCTAAACACGCGTGTGATGCGGTCACTGGCTCCTGTGACAATGTCGCCGGTCTCCTTGCATACCGCAACGCTCCAGACAGAGATCGCAGGGTGCGTGATCGTCTGTACGCACTGCGTACCATCCCAGATCCTCACCGTCCGATCTTCTCCAGAACTGACCAACTCACCCGAGGGCAAAGCGGCCAGCGAATAAATAAAGCTCTCGTGGCCATGCACCTCCCCGACGAGTTGGCCTTGTATGGTAAAGAGACGAATCACTCCATCGTTGCTCGCCGAAGCAAAGTGTGCGCCAGTGGGGTTAGAGGCGGGAACCTTGCAAAGAGCTCTCACAACGTCCTGGGAATCTTTGATCGTTCTCAACAGAGTGCCGGAGGTGTTGAAAATGCGTATCATTTTATCCGCGCAGCCTGGAGAGTTGTAAGCATATGCATGGAATGATCCATCCGTCATATATGCAGGGGTACGGCGCGCGCTTACCTGTGATGACAGTATCCTTGTCATAAGCAAGCACCGTCCAAACACTTCCTTGATGACCCTCCAGCACGACATCGGTTTCCCATTTACCCACCTTCCATAGCCTAGCTGTCGAGTCCCAGCTTCCACTGACTACCCATCCGCCATCATGTGACACATCCAGCGCACAGACATTATGTGTATGGCCCAAGAGCATAGCATCCGCGTTATCATCGGCAGCTTTGCCTGGTTGTCTGGCTTCAATGATAGTGTCTTGACCACCAGAGAGGACAAGTCCATCAGGAAACTGGGGGGTAGGTGGATAGTATGCCAAAGCGTTGATGAAGGCCTGGCCGTGAGAGGTGATGGTGTAGTCATATGCCGGAGGTGGGGTAGAGACTAGTTTCCAGAGTCGGACTGTTGCATCTCGGGACGCCGAGAATATAGCATTGGGATTCGGAAAGGCCACGGCGCGAACCTGAGAGTGAGAGAAAGAGGCGTCAGTGGGCGACAATGGAGGGTTGCAAGGTGAAAGGTGGCCAGCGTTAACAGCCGGGACGTTCTTACATCATCGCCGTGGCCCTCCAGAGAAGCGGAGATCTTGAACTCAGGCATACATAGACCAGTGGAGAGAATTAGGGAAATATAGATCCCAGTAGAAAGGGTTGAGGATGAAGAGGGGGAACTGGCAAGAGCCAAAAGGATGAAATGGAGGCACCAAAGATGGCCGGGAGGGTTTCAAGGCACCTTTGGGAAGAGAGGGAGGGGGGGAGTTCCTGCTTAGTAGTACTAGTTGACCTGGAGTACCTGAGGAGCTGCTGCTTAGAGACTAAAGGGAGGGCCATGGGACCATCTGGGGCAATCACGTGGGCGGTGGCTCGCCAGTGTATTCGCCGGGAAGAAGTTGCTAGAATCCAAGTCTTGATAAGCCATGTTACTAAGTAACTATTAGCTAGTTAGTACTATCGGATTGGGAATGGAGCTATACCCTGGCTTGACTGGGTACTCGACTAGTGGCCATTCTGCATTCACTACTAGTCTTAGTTTGCATTGGGTTTCCATAAGGAACAAATGCTGATTTTCATCCTGAACTCCATACCACCATTTCTTACGAAGATGCCCTGAAATGGCACTCCTCACTCAGGGACCACATCGCATGTTAGTAGTGCAATACCAGTAGGGTCAATGAAAGTGCATGATTCCGTATGCCATTGTTCTGGACCTAACACACTTCTGTGCGTCGTTGTAGTATCAAACTATCGAAGTCCATGAATGCATCCAGATTGCCTATTTGGGAACAGATTAGGGACATTTACCCCTCACGTGCCGTTTGACACTAGTCCCCGATAGGCTTAGGGCAGCTAACGGCCCGGCGACGATTCGCGTGAATATCAAAAAGAAAGTCCCAAACTTCCCCCCAACCAGCTTCATCTCCATCGTGCTCGTTATTCTGGGC